AGACTGTGTTGGGGCTCTGCGTGTCCACGGGGGGCCACGAGGGGTGTGCCAGAATGGGGGGTGGAACCGCATGCGGGCGCAGCCACTGGGGCCGGCGGCCCTCTCGGGTCGCGAGAAGGAGGAGGAGGAAAAGGAGGAGGAGGAGGAGGAGGAGGACGAGGAGGAGGAGGAGGAGAAGGGACGAAAGGAGGAAGCCGAAAGGGGCTGCCTTAGAGCAAATTTGGGATGGTCCATGGGCGCATTTGGATCGTCTTCCACCTTTGGGCCCTCTTCAGCGGGTTTGAGGCCACCTTGAGGCCGCAGTTTGCCAGTTTGGTGGTGTCGGATTGGGCGACCTCTTGGAGCGCAAAAGGGTTGGGTACAGAGAGAATGCAAAAACATGTTGCTCAATGTTTGCTCTGTTGGAAGCTGCTTAGGGCCGCCTTCTGAGATCCCAGGACCATTGGCCATGGTCGGTGAGGGGTCGTGGGTCGGGAGATTCCACTTATGTGCGCTGGGGATCCATGGAGTCCGATTTGGGGTCACAGTCGACCCGCACAGTAAGGATGAGCGACTTTCCAAGGTTACTCTTGCATCCGTCCCCTTCGGCCCATCCTTGGCCCCTTTCGCTGGCCGCGCCCCGCTCGCAAAGTGTCGACACGGCCCTCCAAGGCCCTTGCATCCTCATCGTGCGCCTTTCTTATGCGGGCTGACTGCGTGCTTCTGTGCACTGGGGATCCGTGGAGTTGGACCTGGGGTTGTCTGCGGCCGTCCGTGCCAGCAGCCTCCCGGTGACTGCCAGGGAGGGTGACGAGGCCCCGGCCCCCGGCCCCTTCGACTGCAGAGCAGAGCCGAGGCTCCGCACCATGCGTTTACTTTGGCTCCTCTCGTGCCCTACCCTATCAGACACGCTGGATCGGCGGATTTCGAGCAGGGTTTCTCCTCCCTCGCAGATCTGCTCGGAGTTTGTGAAGTCCTGAGGGGGCTGGCGACCTCGATGCCCGCAGCTGGATTATTCAGGGGGAGGGGAGGGGTGCACGCCTCTCCTTCCCCGTTTCCCCCATGCTCACACAGGGTAAGGCACGGCGACATCAATGGCATAACTTGGACACGCATGGCAATCAGTATTTCAGAATTGCGGAATGTGGAGGACCAGTTCGTGACCGCGACATGGAACCATTCACATTTTTCCTCAAGGGCTACGGCTTTTCTCGTCCCACTCAAGTGGGTGCGGCTCTACCCGCAGTGTAGAGTCGGATGGACGATCGCTCGCTTCGCTCTTCCTTTCTTCACCAACCTCTTCCGCCTTCCACTCCTCTCAGTGACTGGTGCCCGCGCAACTTTGGGTGCCGTGTTGGCCCAGCGGTGTTCTGGCCCGCCTGCCCCGCCCCCCCTTTCACGACGGCTGACGGCGCTCGAGGATCTCAAACCGAAAAGCCCGATCGGGCGTACGAAACACACCCTCATTCAGTGGATACCCATGCCAAGAAACACCCCGCTTGCCTCCAGGGAGCCCTGGGTTTAGAAGGTTTTGCTATGGAGAGCGCGATGCTCCCACGCCAGAACTCAACGGACGCCCTGGGGTCTCAGGGTTGGGTTTCTTGTGGACGTTTTTTGTGGTCGAGCCTCTGCTGTGATAGACATGCGTTTCACACGTTTGGGGGGCAGCTCGGAGACCCGCCGTCAATCTCCAGGACATCCGGGGGCCGTCCGCACCTCGCACGCGGGACGGGCGGGCAGCTTCGCCTGCGCAGCCTCGCCCGCAGGGGCGAGAGAGCTCCAGATAGCAGGCAAGCCTTCGGAGGGAGGGACAGGTACCCGTACCGCTTCCCTTCCCTCGTTTCCCTCTCTTCCGGGCCTCCTGGGAGGCCCTCCTCGCCACCGCTGGATTCGCCTCGAACTCTTGCTCAGAATGCACCCCGGGAGAGGTCGAGGGAGTAGCGGTGTCGGTACCTTCTTGCCTCCCCAAGCCCGCGCAGCGCTGCTCGGGCCGCTCGCGCGCAGCCGGGCGCCGCCACGCGCGTGCGCGAGCGGCGCGGGCCGACTGGCCGCCTTCGGAGGTGCGCAGAGGGCCGGTTTCAGACGCGGCGCGAAAGGCCCTCCTCGTGGACCCCCGCGAAGTCCAGCCAGGGAGGAGAGCGGGGGGTATGGGGTCCTCGTTCTCTTGCCTCCCTCCTCTCCTCTCCTAGGGAGGGGGAGGGAGGGGGGGTGCGGGAGGGACGAGGACTGGTAGCAGCGCAAGTCCGTGAGTGTTCTGGGGCAGGGGCTGGGCGAACAGGAAGTCGGGAGGGGCGCAGCGGGACGGGGAAGCGGGGCAGGGCTGGGCCTAGCCGCTGTTTTGCTGGACTTCGGCTGTGTTTTGTTTTTTTCCGTGTGGGGAGGGAGTTAAAGGAAAAGAGGTCGAGCAAAACGACAAGAAAAACGGCAACAAAACGAAGAACAACGCTTAGGTCCAGCCCTGGCGGGCGGGGGAGGTGACAATGGGGGCGGCCCCCGTTCCACATGCACGACAAGTGGAGAGCGGCCCCCGGCAGACCGGGGCGGGCGGAGCTGCATCCGGCCTCTCACTCTCGTCGGGGGCGGCCAAGAGGGGGGTTGATGACTGGGGGGGGATATCATGGCGGGGGCCATGAGGTTTCCCCAGATTTTATGGCGCACCTCCTCTCCTATTTCATTACGCCCTGGCCCCCCCCCCCCCTTGGGCCGCGCACATGCCGCCGGCCATAATTTGCGCCCCCCCCCTCTCTTGGACGCCCCCCTCTTGGCCGCCCCCGCCGCGTCTCTGGCCGCCTGCCTTTTGGCAGGGCAGCCCCCTTCCACCAACGTCCAAAAAGTTGGGCACCCCGCTCCGCGTCCGGGCGCCTGGCAGCCGAGGGGGCCTGGCTCAGGGAGAGGTCGGGAGTAGAAGGAGGGAGACCAGAGCCCAGGGCCAGTCCTGACGGGACTGGTCGCTGTGCACCATCGGGTCTCCGTTCTCGGGAAATTTGCCTGCACAGAACAGCTACACCGAATTCTGGTGCCGTCCATTGCGATAGCCGTCGCAAGGGCTGTGGAAGCCAACCCGATAGGGCACCTCGTGATTCCCTTTCGCGTAGTCGCAACAGAACATACACATCAGCAGGGTGCTCAGCAGCCAATTGTCGCGGCCTCCTCGAACTTCCGCGAAGAGCGAATTGTGGCCTCTGGCTGAACCTAACGCGGCGCACTCATGACAAAAATCGCAGTGGGGCTGAGACGAAACACGCCCCGCAACGTGGTCAAACGCCGATTATATACGAAGGGCGGGAGACGCAGCGAGGCTTCGAGCAGGCTTGTGTGGGACAACCCGCTACGATACTGGACAGGCGGCAAGCTGTGGGTACACTTGGGTGGCCAAGAGCTTTGCAGCAGCCTTCCTGCTTTTTTTACGTCCGCTGGGCGTATTTCGCTCTCGGCGGGGCTGTGCGGGGCAGTCGTGGGACATAGCTACGGAGTGCCGCGCGCGCAGTTGAGCGATACGAGTTGGCCTACGCTTCGGTCACGTTCAGCACTCGCTGGGGTCATTCCGTGGCCAGGCCACCGCGATGTCAGCCGGGTTCCGCTTGACTGGCCCGAAGCCCTTCGGGGGGCGCGAACGGGCAAGAACCGCATCTTCTGTCTGTGCACGGCGTGTTGCGGCAGTCGGGAACGATTGGCCACCCAACAGCATTCCTTTTAGAAACGCCAGCTTCGCTCATTCATTCGCGAACGTCATTGGGCATAAGTTGTTAACAAATTGTCTGGTGGCTTTCGGCCGATCTCGCCACCGTGCCAGGGTTGTGTGTCATGGGCCTCTTGCGAGCCTCTTGGGGTGACTCAGAGGTCTCTGGGGGAGCGATTTGCGGTCTCTTGGGGGGCTGTTTGGGGCCCATTCTGGCCTTTTGGGCGCCTCTAGGCTGTGTCGGTGACGACGACGACGATGACGACTAGGAAAGCGCTCGAAATGTCACTTCGAGCTCCCCTCTTAGGCCGCCTTGGGGGGACTCTTGGGCCCTGTCGAGGGGGCCGTCTTCGGGCGATCCTGGGCCCACCTCGCCATACCTCGGGGTCCCTGGAGGACCGAACAACTGGATACGTTTGAAATCACACCCAGAAGCATGTGTGCGTGTGTTTGTTTGTCTGTATGTTTGTCTGTCTGTTGGTTCGTTTGTTTTTTGTTTGTGTATATGTGTTCGTGTGTGTGCATGTGTGTATGTGCGTGTGTGCGTACGTGCGTGCGTGCGTGCGTGCGTGCGTGCGTGCGTGCGTGCGTGTGTGTGTGTGTGCGCGCGCGCGTGCGTGCGTGCGTGCGTGCGTGCGTGCGTGCGTGCGTGCGTGCGTTCGTGTCGTTTGCCTCTTCTGCCAGCCCCCAGCGCCCCCAAAGCCGGCCCGAGATGCGTCTTGCAGGGCTGTGTGTGTTCGTGTGTGTTTGTGTGTTTGTGTGTGTATGTGTTCGTGTCGTTTGCCTCTTATGCCGGCCCCCAGGGCCCCCCAGCCTGCCCGAGATGTGTCTTGAAGAGCTCCAGGACGATTCTTGAGACCATCTTTCGGTATGTTGGGAGTGTTTTTTGATACCTGGGAAAGCCACGCGGCGATTCTCAAGAGCGCCGGGGCCCTATTGCAGTCCTCAACGCGAGAACTCGAAGGGACCTGAGGACATTCCACTCAGTGCCTACGGCTTGGTGGCGGGTCAATGTTCCCCTCGCTTGTGAATTTGACCAGGGCGCGATCCACACACATTCGTTGCGAGCAGGGTCATGGATGTTGGTATCGGCTCCGATTCTGCGCGTCAGGGCGGCGCTCGAAATCGATCTCCAGAGCAGGTGACAGTTTGTATTGTGTGGCGTCCCTAACCCCACGAGCGTGGCCTGAGCCCCATTGACCGATTTACCCTTCTAGATAGGGGATATAGGCTGTTCCCTTGTTTTTCGAAGGGCATGTCCCCAGCTGGGTTGGTGGGATGGTGGGGACCGGGATGGGGATAGGGATCGGTCAAACGATACCTGTGCACCTGCGATGAACAGTTGCCTCCTCTCTGCCGGTGGCCTCGTGCACTCGGCTCCGCGGTCGCCCAGCGGGTGGGCCCCATCCCGAGCTGGCCTGATCGCAGGCGGAGCTCGCCTTGCCGCAACGAGGTCGGCATCTTTACGGGCGCTTTCGCAAGTCCCCCACTTGCCTCGATCCTCCTCCGTCCTCCTCCTAGGGGATCGAAAAGGGCATAAACATAAAAACTCTGAGGTCCTTGCGGATTTCTCGGATCCGCGCTGGACCCCCCTGGCGGTGCCTCTGGCGCCGCCCCTGGCGCGCTCCGCGCGCCAGGGAGGGGGGTCCAGCGCCGATCCGAGAAATCCGCGCAGACCTCCGAGTTTTTATGTTTATGCCATTCTTTCGGGGGTGGACAGGCCTCCTACCCTGACACGTCGATTAGTGAATTGTCCGTTTTCGGTTCTCGAGAGGGCGCCGCGGCCGTCAATTTCCAGGCTTGCGCCCGCCAGTTTTGGGCCCGAGGT